GAAAGAATATTCTTAAATTCTTGCGATGTCTTCATTGTTTGGTATTTCAACTAGTCAATTCTATCATAAATGCTGATCTGTACTGCTGATCTTCATGCAAAATACAAATTTTCGAAATGAATCGTAAGAAACACGAGTTATACAAAAATGTATTCCTCGTTTTAAGATTTTCAATAAATCAAGAAAAATGTAGGAACAGTCTTGAATTCTAAGATCTTCATTGTTTGATATTTCAACTAGTCTATTTTATCATAAATGCATAAAAACGGCAGTTTGTTAAGATAAGAATTGTCCAAGTTTATTGTAAGAAACACAAGATAGGTGAAAATGTCTTTTGATAATCGTAATCAGCTGAAAATAATGTAACAATATCCTTAAATTTTTCTAATATATAAGTTGCGTGCCTGACCTACTTATGTTTGCCATAAATTCATAAAATCTGTAGATTACATTGAATTTATGATCTTCGGCAAACTGTCGAATTCTTTATGAATTTTGGAAACTACACCAAAATCTGTGATGTGTTACCGACTAAACAACCCATCGCCTTACCTTTGTTTCAAGCGAACTTTTACAAACATCGATTACAGATCTCCGTCGCTAAGCTAACCCAGCCAATTACAAAAATCGTTTTCACGTGAAAAAAAATCGATTTACTTCTAGATCTTAATCTTTTGTACTCGGATGGTGTCTTTTAACTGTTACGTTACGTTCCGGTTTGTTTATATCGGAAAAGCTATTGTACGAGTCACAAGACTCAATTTCGTGTGCGTAAAATGCACCGAGTCACAGAACATCAGAAAATCGGAATGCGAAGGGTTAAGAAAGTTTTGTAATTTAGATTTTGGATTTGTATTGGATTTTATAATCTGTTCCCGAAAAAGATCGTTCCCAAAGGGTAGAAATAAAAGCATTTCAAAGGGAACGAATTCTAAGTTCCGGGGTGTCAGCACTCCTTCGTTGCGTGGAGATTCAATATTTGATCAATTTCGTTGAACATGACCCTTCCATTAGGGTCGTTGTAAGTACCGGAAACCCCAATGAGAGCCGATGATCGGTGGTAATGCGCGTAATCAGTGGTGGCGGTCGTCCAGAGCAAAGCAGAGCGGATCGGAGCCGAGCTCAGACGAGCCGAGACGAGCTCAGACCGGCGCGCGCGCGCGTTTTTCGCCGGACGCTTCGACAGCGCAGCGGTTTCGTGCCTCGAAGGAGGCTATTACCTTCGCGGTGTGCTCTCGAAACGGGGGCGACCGTGCCGTGACGCATTATGCGTGCTCATATGTGGCGGGAACGAAGCGTTTACATGACAGAAATAGAGCAGAATTTCAGGGAATCGATGGAACGATACCAGAGCCTCGCGATATACCGTGGCCCGTTTTATTCTCCCTCTCCTTTTCCATCCGTCACTCTCCCTTTTTTTTTTATTAACGATGACAAATCGTTTCTGACAAACACCTGTACGGCCGTGCGCTGTTCGTTTCCCTTCGGTGGACATCGCGGAGATCGACTACGTTCGAATAGCGCTGACATACGAAATTTTTTACTCGCAGGAAGGTTCGCCAACCCCCTGAACGTATTCAATCGCTCTTAATTAAAATACCTCATACACTAATTTACCACTTCTCAGGATATTTTTTAATATATTTGAAACGTCACGTGCCTTGTGACTTTTAAGCATACAATTTAGCATACAATTTTAAGCATACAATTTCCAAATGTAATTCCATCTATCGGTTTTTGCTTATTTAAAAATGATTTCATTAATTCGAAGCTTAATTTTCTGATGAGAAATGTTAGTTACGTCAATTTAACTAAGGAAGGCAATTGTTTATTAGGCGTCGATCTTTTGCGGTCGAGAGGTGACTCTGAGACAAAAACTAAATTTTTACATATTTCCAAATTTAATTATATTTTAAAAAGTATTAAGAATATAACTGCTGTATGAGTCAGAAGATTCAATTTCAGATGCATAAAATGTCCTAAATCATACAAAATACTGCAAATCAAAAGAACTGTTTTGGATTTAGAGACCCTTTCAATGTTCAGTCCTTACGTTGCAGGAACGACAGCAACATTGTCTAATTTGTAGTATTCGTGAAAAATGGATGATTCATGATCTTTATAATAATATGAACATAATATAAATATAAATATTTATATTTATAATATATTAGAAAATATGTAGTTAGAACTTTTTCCTTAGCGAAAATGTAATCCGTGGCTTTATTTACGAGTTATTAACGGAAAACAGTGACCAACGAGAGGCGAGCTCGGCTGCCTCGCGCCTCTCAACCCTCATTGGTCAGTGTTTTTCGTTAATAACTCGAAAACAAAGCCGCGGATTGCATTTGCGCTAAGGAAAAAGTTACTTCAAATGACCTCAGGAATCGACTCTTTCTGGGTATTAACATAATTATGGGACATCCTGTATACACACTTCCATATAACTAGCAAAAGAAACTTTCGACACGTATTTCTCGAAACCACATTTTTTGAAACACGATATCTCAAGTTCTAGTTGATCAATTGACTGGAAATTTATGTATGGAGCATCTTCAGCTCATATCTTCCTCGTTTTCTTTCTATATTTTTCTTGACATACCAAAGACGACAAAACATTTAAAGAATTGATAACTTCAATCCAAGATGTTGTCGATTTGTTTACAATCGAGATTACTATATTATTTTGGTTTGTAATACTTTTAACAATATATTATTATAATATATAATTTTAATAATATAATATTTTTAATAATAATATGTTTTAATTCGTCCATATAGCAAGATTTATACCAAGGAAGAAGATTCCTCAGTGTTGTTGCCAAAAACTTTATTTATGTTGGGGCTGTTCTTTGCAACACTGCTGTCAAGTTTATGTGCATATCAGAAAATTATAAGTGCAGTAAATAAAGTTTGTTACACAACTTAGCAAATACCAATTAATTTCGTTTTTCTGCGATCGTAGACACTGATTCTCTCGGAGACGCCATTGAGCTTCTTAATTAATAAATAACATACCATTGATGCTCCTAAATGAAATTCGCGAAAATAAAGAGTTCCAGATCAGTGAACACAAATTTCCCTAACTGCGGCGCTTATCGAAATAGTAAAACATTAATGTACACGCTAAATTAGTTTCAGTGATTGATTTAAAAAATATATTGTCTTACTTTTGCCAAAAAAAAGTTCGAGAAGTGCAATTATTAATGCGATTTATCACCGCGTTAAGTTCCGAAAAACAATCCCAAAAATTCATACAAAATCAAAGTAATTTAATTAGTGAAACTATAAAATTAGCAGTTAAAATTTATCATAGTGAACGGTATCATAACTCTCCTGCAATTTTAGTTTGTTCGAATTGTATATTTGATTAAAAATGAATTTTGAAAATTAGTCAAGAATTAGTGTCATTTATATCTGACCGGCGCAGCACACATGTTTTCTGAATGGAAACAGTTATGCTATTTAAGATTTAAAGAAACTTAAGAAAGTATGAAATCTTTGTGTGCCTTGATGGAAACGAGGATATCCTTGTTAACAAGTTTAAATGATTGCGAGTAGTTGCATTAATTTATCACCGGTTAGAACTAATTGTAATAGTTTCGATTTTTTAAATTATTAGATTCCAATCTGTATTTGATATTTGTCACGCGATAGTTTTACCGAAAACCGTCTGTCGTAACCAACGGAATTGTCCGATGGAGGAGCGACCCACTTAACGAGTTAAGACCAATCTTCAGACTAACGCAACAACATCAGACTCTCTAATTTCAGAGGATTTTGTCTGGGGTGTTCATTGACTCCGGCTAAACTCCAATAAATCTTCATTGCCCTTCCTCTCTCTTGTCCCCCCTGGTCGCATGCTCTTTTTTCCCTTTGTGCCGACAAGTGAATCAGCCTCTGCCAGCTATGATCTCGTTATGTCCCGAGTATCGTTCACGCAATTCGGCTAATCAACCGTATCCTGTAATTCAACGCAATCAAACGATCCGCGTTCGTCCTGCGACCCTCGTAGAAACATGATATCGTTCTTATTTCGAAATTAACCACACCTATTTCACCTGACTCGTGCGTATCCGAAATTAACGACCGGCTATCGTCAACCCTCGTCAGTTTCTCATTGTCCCAACTTAATTTGTCTCTGCGTGTCAAACACGCTGGTCAAAATATCAACACGCCATGAAAATATCTTATTTCACATATTTTATTTCTCTTATTTTACGAGTAACGTGTGAACAGTAGCTTTCTTCCGTAGCGCAATCGAATAAATTATTTTAAGATGATTTTTTTATTCGAGTAAAATAGCAAATAATTTACTATTATTATATAACGGATATTATACCTATATAATAATAGTAAATTATTTGCTATTTTACTCGACTATACAATAATACAATAAAAAAATCATCTTAAAATAATTTATTCAATTGCGCTACGGAATAAAACTACTGTTCACACGTATATATATCATATATCGA